GCAGACTATCTCTGCACATTTATTTATTCTAAATATCACTGGGCATTCACCAGAGTCTGTTTCAGTGCCTTCCTCTCAGCAATTTAGAGAACAGATATAATAGCTCTCTAGCTCCCAAAGGTTAAGCCAATGTGAAGCAGAGGAGGCTGACATATTGGACATACTCTCTTATGGTATAAGTTTTGTTCTGGTGTTCAGGCAAGGTTAATTGAGTCTTTACGTAAAAAAAAAAAAAAAAAAAAGTAACCAGGTCACCCTAATGAATTGTATATATTTAGTGGTGGACAAGAGTTTCCAAAGTGACATATAATATTGCAAAATTCTGCTAGTCAGCCTGAGATCCTGTTGGAATACTATATCTTTGTTATGACTGAGATGAATAAGTGGGGCTTAAGTTTCATTCAGGCTGTTTTTATACATTTTTTATTGCTGTAGCTGATTGCATTCTGGTCTAAGAGCTTGATAAATGTTATTATTTATAGAAAAGACTCATCTTTTCTATAAAAAATTAAGTGTTTATCTTACAAATAAAATAAATACTCTCATATCCATACATATGGATGGTTGTATAGTATAGTTTTTCAAGATACCTTAATTTTGAATTATGTAAATAGTCTTAAATCAAATAGATCTTTGGAGACACTTATGTGTTTACCTTCTGTAGAGTATGCTTGAAATTAATTGTTCATATGTTAACACTTTTGTCTTGCATATTTCAGAAGAAGGCAGTGACATACCATTTCCATACTGTTGCCAAGAAAACAACATGCATCTGCCTATGTAATCACCAGGAGTTAACCTTCATTTGAGGGAAACTTTACTTTTTAATCTACCCCAAAGTAAACATGAGCTGGAATCCCTAGATAATGTATCTGATGTATTTGGGAAAAAATGCAGTGCAGTGATCGGCAGATGCATCTGCAGAAGTGGGGGAAGGGAGAGCAAAGGACAAAATGAGTATCACACTATCACCATGCAAGCTCTGCCACTGTTGTACATGTGTTGTGACATCACAGGTATGTGATGGGTGGTGGTTACATCATGAGATTGGCATACTAACCTTTTCTGCTGAAATTATTAGATTCTGTGAATACCTATAGTGACAGTCACTAACTATTCCAAGCAACTCTTGGTGGCTGTGTATTGTCAATAAGTAAATTCCAGAATAACATTATGGGAAGAAGGGCAGTTAAATAAACTCAGTTGATCAGAACACTAATTTAATTTTTAGGGATTTTTCTTTTTTCTTTCTGGAAGACAGGAGTTAATGGTAAATCCTGTTGATTCCCAAAGGTATTTGCTGATGCCAAGTCTGAAAACAGAAGTATTACTAGATATAAAGAATAACAAGTTTAATTAAATGCATCTTATACTAGGCTGTGCTTTTTAAAAACATTTCTGGAGAAAAAACATTCAGGCGGAAGAGTTGATAGGAAATGAAGAAAAAGTCATATGTGATTTCTTTATCGAGATATGAATGCTGAAATGTATGCATTAAGTAGGGAAAGAAATTGTGATTGTGGATTCTTCTATTGACATGCTTTTTAAGTTGTATTTTATAAAATAATCTTTCTTAGTTTCTTAATTTAAAGTTGAGGATATGCATTTGTCTGCTCCTTCATTACAAAAAAGTTTTACTCATAAATATCTGTATGAATTCTGTCCTGGTCTTCCAGCTGTGCAATGAAATTACTTCAAAATTCCTTGTGTGGGGAAATATTCAAGCATGTACTGTATATCTCTCCATTTCCTGCTGTCATATTCTTAAAAAGGGTCAAACTGACTGTTTTCTGAAAATATAGTTTGAGTCCTTCCTTGAATTCTGCATTATTGTCCTTAGGTCACTTGTTACTGAACTATAGTGCTTAGTAAGGTAATATCCATAGTATCTTTTTAATGTCTCGTAACTGGAGATTATAAGAGATTAACCCAAAGCTCTTTGCATTCATAGCTTTTTTTAGGGGACTGATTGGAGAGCAAAGATAAATGAACCAAATCAGCAGAGCAAGTACAAAATTGGTTCTTTATACTCATGGCATTTAAACATATAATTTACTCTAATAGTGAACTTGAATGCTGGTAGGATTTTAGCCATAACAGAGCTAGTGAGAAAAAGGCTATGTTAGTCTTCAGAGAATGAATGCTGTGGCAGGCCCAGATATTAAAATTGGGATTGATTGAACTGCCTTTAAATGGACTATTTTGTATGTACCTGGGAGGAGATCTAATACTTTACTTCTATTTCTAATTAACTCAGTGTTAACACTGCATCCAAACACTAAATTTAGAGATAAAGTAAGCATCTTAATTAAGATGCCTTTGCTAGAATGGAATCGTTCCCACCCTTTTTACGTCATCCTCTTTTAATCATTCCAGATTGTTCTTCCTTCCAGCTTCATGTTTTATTTTCTCTGTCAGTTGATTTCTAAGAAAACCCATAGCCATAAAATATGCATTAATGTTGACTTCCCAACTGTCTCTATAAACATGAAATCTTTACAGTACTGTAATCTGTTTATATCCTCTTCAGCATCGACTGCACTTCCATGGCTGAAAACGCCTACAGCCTGGTGATGGTGTGGTATTGCAGGTTGCTGGGAAGGGTGACCTGTGTCAGGTCGCAGCTAAATCTCTTGGGCCTGAATGCTGGAAGGGTTTGGATTACACTATATAAAACAAAGGCTCAAAAGTACAGTACCAACCTTCTGGCTCTGTTATTGAGGCCGCATCAAGATTTTCAGGAAAATGGCAAGACTTTCAAGTTTCCTTTCTGCATTAAAAATCACAGCTGAAAAGGGTGGCATTCTTCTCTCTGAGGAATGTAAGATCACCTTGACTTCTGAGAGCAAGATCAGATGGAAAGAGTATTGAATATACCACATTCAAAATGCTAGGATTATCCCATAGTGCAGGCTTGCCACATTCTTCATGTGATTTCGGTTGGAAGAAATTATGCAGATTTTAAAGATTTTGCAGCTAACTGGCTTTTGTTTTTGTTTGTTTGTTTGCTTTCAAGATTTGATGTTCTGTATAAAAACAAGAAACTAAAATTTGTAGGCCTGTATCATAATACCACAGTATCATTTGTGCACATGATATATAACAGAATAAGTGCAATAAAGAGAGTTGCAATCTACATTTTTATAGCAAAGGCGATTACAGTGAGAGGAAAGGAGGAAGGATATCAAGACACTGCTAAGGAAAGGGTGGAAGGGATTAAGGCTGCTGCTTTAAACACTATTGCAGAGCAAACCTTATTGAAAGCCCTATCTTCTGACAGATCTCTGCTGAGTAAAATCTTCCAAGAAAAACAACTCTTGATTGGGAGGAGTATTTGTGTTTAAATTAGGTTTTGTCTGTTGCTTTGTAAGAAATGTGCACTTTTCATTGCAGAGTGGTGAACGGAAACTCTTTTTGTCCTCAGAGAACCAAGGGGGAGCTACTTTGAATATTTGTCTGGGCATCACTTACCTGATGCTTGTACAACAGTCTCTCAGCTACTGGGTGTAGACTGTTGTATTTTGCCAGTTAATTTCTACCATGGAAACTGTACAGTAGTATATAGTAGTATACACACACACACACACACACACACACACACCACACTTTAGAAACTACTATAATAGTAGTTTCTATAATAGAAACTTAAGGCGTAGGGAAACTGTACATTCTTCCTGAAAAGAGTTATCCTGAAATTCATGTGTAGGCATGAGTTGTAATAAACTTTAAAAGTTGTAATAAACTTTTTAACGACTGTATAGATGCTGAGAAAAATTGAGAGCCTATATCTTGAGTTCATAAAATGCAGTTCAATTTTGTTTTGCTATTAATGTGCTAGAGGTATTGCTACAACTTATATTGTTCCAACTTGAAACAATATAAATTATTTTGTGAGTCTTATCCTATGTCCTTTCTCCACATTCCTTTATAAAAAATTGCTGAATTCTAAAATTGAATATTTTCCATTAGAAATAACTAGAGAAGTTGGATTTAAAAGTGATGTGTCAATCTGTGCTAACTGTAAATTTAGATTGTCTTCTTTCTTATTATATAAAAATGAAGGAAGTATATGGATATATTTCCAAACAGTGGGGGGGGGGTACAGCCTGCTTATTGTATTTTAAAGGTGAAGGAATAGGGAGGAGTTTTGGCATTACAAGCTATAATATCTAATAAATAAATTCTCTGACACCTTTGACAGTTAAGCTTTGAGTATGGTTGCTAGGCTAGTAATTTAAAAAGATTATTGAAGTGCTGTATGCACAATGAGTCATATTTTAAAAAGAATTAGTCCTGCAATATTTTTTTTTTCTAAAGAAAAAAAAAACCTCTACCCTTCAGTTGGGTTTTTGAAATCATATTTGAAAATATCTCTATCACAGTTGTATACAATTTGTGTTCATTGAAATATCTGAACTGTCATTTCAGTGTTTCCCCTGTTCTTAGAGTTCGAGGCCTTTCTGTGAAATTATGAGTATTGTTAATATTGGTGTTCTGCCCTTCCTTTAAGGATTTTGGAGCACCTCTATATAGAACAGTTGCCTCAAGGCAGAGGGGAATCTTTGGGGATCTGGGAACTGTGTTTCCCAGTGCTCCAGCCCTTGTTCTGCACTATTACCCACATCACATTGTGTTGCAAATATTTTGAGAGAATACGTTGTTTGAAAATGGATCCATTTCTTCTATTTAACTACAGGGTATGTCTTTCCCACTGCTGATGTTTATGCAATGTTAAGTGTAGAAGTAAATATTGACTATTGTTGAGATTTTTATAAGTCAAGAAAATATCACCTTTTACTTGATCCAGATCACTTAAACCACATTGTCTCCCTTAAATTCTCTACAGGAGTCAGGGATATGTGTGAAACAAAAATTTTGAGACTTCTCCATGTATAGAAAAATTTTATTCTGTGTCTGTTACAGCCATGCTTCTCCCCACTTGGTCATCTTGGGCTTGATTTAAAAGTATCTTAATTCTGTCTAATTCTGTCTTTTTGCAGATTTGTTCATCTTGATGCTTGTGGATAATTGTTTGCTTGAGAGCAGGCCCATGTCAGAATCTTCTTATATTTCCAAGGACTTACCTTAACAAGGAAGGGGATTGGTGATTCTTCACAGATCCTGGAATTTAACAACTGGCTCCTGGAATTATCATCCTATATAGTGATGGTGGTTGTATGGTCCCATTTTCTACTTTTTATCTGGATGCAGTTTGTGTAGTTTTCAAATTAGAGTTGAGAAATGTTTTGGAATGAGAGCATGTTTGAAATTTTGGAAACATGTCATGGGCACACTCACTAAATGCCATGTTTGGGGTTTCTTGTTACAAAAGGACTGTCATGTTTTATGTGATAACTCAGAAAACATCTTTTTACCCAAAGGCACTGGGTGAGATGGCTTTGCATCACCTTCAATAATATTTTGCCTATTGGACCTGTTTACGGCCCAAAGGCATTCTTGTAAATAAAGATAATGCCAGCTTCCCTTTTTCATTAAAGAAGTCTGTGAAAAAGCAAAAATCCAGGTGGGGCAGGAAATCTGATGGGTGTCAAGGGAGATGTCTATAAGCACTGTGTTCCCTAATCCTGTTATAAATCTTTACTCTTTTACAATAAGTTTATTAAAATAAATTAAACTGTCCAGTCACTTGCTCCTGCTACTAGAAGGATTGTAATTATTTAGTATTTCTGAATGGGACTGGAGAAAAAGGTGAAATTGAGAGCATCAGGTTTAGGAAGAAGTGAGGATCAGGCTGTCCCTATACTTATTTCTGTTCCACAGCTGACATACTGTACATTGAGTCATGGAGTTCCAAGTGTGTTACCACTGTGCTCACAAGTACCTTCCTTGGCAATCTCTTTTTACCCTACCCTACCCTCTAAAGAAAGACATCTAAAAAGTATAATTCCGAGGGCCAGCGTCATTTTTATTTCCAAACATGTCTATGGGCCCCAGTGCCTTAGAAAATAAAAATGGAGGATGGTTTGAGCCCGGTATTGTGCTTAGAAGTATACCAACTTGCTCAGGAAAACTCAAAACAAGCTGGGATGATGGAGAATGTCCTGTAGGTTTGGAAGGCTGTGTTCTGATAAATTAGTGCTTTGAGACTTATTAGGTCCCTAACGGCTGCTACTTTGGTATTGGGCAGCTCCCATGGCAGCATTTTGCAACCATCCTCATGACACACTCTCAAAATTCTAAATGTATCCTTAAAAGTTGGGGGCTTGTGATTTAGCTAATTATGATACATCAGTGCCTAGAAACAAACACTTAAAAACATGATTTAAAGTCATCTTTCATTAATCTTAAATTACTAACAGTAACATAAATCACCTCTGTTTCATACATATGTAAAACAGATAACTGAAATCTCTAAAGATGAATATACTCCTTTGCATCCTCCCACAGAAATCAGTAAGCAAGTAATGCTTGCTTTTTCTTCTTAAGATGTTTATTCCACCTTTTATTTCAAAATAAATGTGAACTGAGTTTCACTTGATAGAAGTGGTCAAATTGAGAACTGATAGATTGGGTGAATCTGTATCTAACTTTTCATAGATTTTATGTAAAAATTATTTGTGTCTCACTTATTGGTGAACTGATCTGAACTTTTTGATACCTGTACGAATATATTGAAATGCCAATATGAAAATAGCACTGCGGAATTCGGGGAAGTATGTAAAATAAAGGATAACTGTGTTATTGATCTTATTTAGAGAAAGAAGGGATTTTGCTCCCAACCTTAATCTAGGACAAAGTATATGTGGTTTGAATTCAGATTTCTTTCTATGAGCAAATACGTCCCCATGTCCCTCTTTTTTTTACTGCGCTCCCTCTCCGAAATATTGGGATTTTTGGAAATGATTTAGAATGTGACTTGGCAAATAGAAGGAAAAATGTCAGAAATGACCTCCTTTATTCTGTACATGGAGAAATAATCTTAGGATCCAAGTATGTATGTGTGTATACAGGCATAATGCTGTCTTAAAGTTGCCAGCATAAAAAAAGTGTTTGATATGTATTTCTGAATATCCAACCAAATTAGTTCACCATCTATTTGTATGTAATTCCAAGATGGATGGCAGTCCAATAATTCAGGGTTTTGGATTTTCGTTTTGTTTTTTTAGATCTTCATATGATGATTTTTTTATCATGGCAAATGACACTTTGGAAGGTTTTCATGAAGTGAATCTAGCTTCCCCCACTACTCCAGATCTTTTAGGAGTGCATGAATCTAAAACTTCTGAAGAACCTACCTCACCCACCATTATTTACCGGCTTCATCCCTCAGCAGTGTCCTCCCTACCTATTCAGCCAAGCACCCTGAATGTGACTGATCTTCCTACACAACCTGTCTACTCATCTGCTAGGCACCTAAATTGTGCAGAAACACCAGGTATCAGGTTGGTTGTGAGAAACTTCTATTGATGATGAAACAGGGTTTGTAATTACTTTTTATATTATATTACTTTTTAAAAATACATCCTTTTCTTACAGTATCAATGTTACGGAAACTGTACCCTGTTCTACCTCAGGAACATATGGTGGGTTATCCAAACATGATAATTCCAGGAAGGACAACTGTAGTGCAGAGAGAGAATTTTTGCAGGGCGCAACAGTAACAGATTTTTCTGAAGGAAGAGATGACATTTTTGGGCTCAGCACAGATAGTCTCTCTCGGCTGCGAAGTCCATCAGTATTGGAAGTGAGAGAGAAAGGGTACGAGAGACTGAAAGAGGAACTTGCTAAAGCTCAAAGGGTAAGAACAATATATAGATAAATAGATTACAATTATTTCCATGTAAATGTGGAATGAAACATAATATTTAAGGGTAATCCTATTTTCTGTCTAGTCTGCCTCCTTTCCCCTAAATATACCTTTCATTATAAACCAACAAAATATTACACTGCCCTTTAGACAGCTTCTGAGCCATTTTACTATTTATTGAAAAACAATGTTATATTGCTATTAAAACAATTTTTCATAACACACCAATAAAATAATAAAATTAGCAAAATTGGTCAATTAACGATAAAACAGCTGTGAGCATTGCACTTTTCTCTTGCCTTATTTCAGGACTGTATTGTGTAAGCATTTCTTCATTTTTTCCCATTCTCTCTCTCCCTTACCCCCACTCCCTTTTGGGAGTATTAAATGTTATTTAATACTAAGCCAGATGTTCTCAGATTGGGACATGATTGGGAGGGGGGAGGATAATGAGTGATTTTAATTTATTAAAAGGTAGGTGGCATTTTTATTTCCTGCCTACCCATATTTCCAATGAGAACAATTGTTTATTCTTGTAATATTAGCACAAATCTATGTATCATTTTAGGGGTTGTAGTATTGCAGTGTCAGAAGCTCTGACCTAAGCCTTAGAAAAGGGATAAAAATATTAAAATAATCTTCAGACAGTTGGAAAGTACACAGATGATTCTCAGTTGGTAGAGTGTTCACAGAGGTCAGAAACATATGGCCACAAACAAATCATAAGAGATTAAAAAAATAGCAGTAAACAGATCTTTAGTTCCCAGGCTTGGAGGTGTTACTCTCAAATGCCAAGTAGAATTAGAGAATTGGGAGGGACATTTAGGTCACTGACTCCAACCTCCAATGTTGGAATCCTGATGGCTGTCTTGCCTCCACTTGAATATAGACAGTGAGGGGAACCTTCTGCCTGTCTGAGTATTTGATTTCACTCTCAAACTGTTCTTACTGATAGGAAGCGGTTTTTTTAGCATTCAGTTGGAATCTGTCTTCCTGTAACTCAAATCCATTATTCTGTGTTGTGCACTGTGGAATGAAATAGAAGAGGTCCTGACTGTCTTCTGTATTAAAACTTTTCATGTTTTTTGAGAGCACTGTTGTATCCCACCTCACTTGTCTTTTCTCAAAGGTAAAATACCCAGCTCCTTCTGTCTCTTCAGAAGCTCAGTTTGTAGTCCCTGATCATCTTTGCTGCTCTTGTCTTCTTAAAGTGCAGTGCCCAGAAATGGGCTCTGACCAAAGCAGAATGGAGTGGAATGACTACTCCCTGTCCTTTAAAATTAAACTTGTGTTGATGCAGCCTAAAATTGCATTTGCCTTCTTAACAGCCACATCGCATTGCTGGCTCATATTCAATCTTTTTTTTTTTTTGCAGGTACAATTACCAAGCCAGGTATTCTCCCTCTCTTCTTATATTTGTACATTTGATTTCTGTTTCCCAAGTGCAAAACTTTGCACTTCTCTGATTACTTCATTTAACTTATCAAGATTGTTTTGAATCTTTCTGTCTTCTACTGCATTAGTTATCCCACTCAATATGTATTTACAAATCTGACAAGCTTTCTCTCTGCTTATCGTCCAAACAATTAATACAAATGTTGAAAGGTTGGGGCCCAAGGATTGATCCTTGTGGCCACCTACTCAGTACCTTTGTGCTATTTGATGAAGAATCATTGATGAGCTTCTTTGAAAACAATTTTTGAGCTAACTCTGTTTCCACTTAATTGCCTTGCCACCCATCTTATATTTAACTAGCTTGCTAATTAATATGTCATGGGATAGTCTGTCAAATGTAAAGTCAAGGTTTGTTACATTTGTAGAATTCCATACAACACACAAAACAAAGGGAGGCAAGTGACATTTCATGAAAATTCACAACATGGGGTCATTATATAAACTTGCTATCTAATGTGCAGCTGAGCAGGGTCTCATGCACATCTTAAAATGTTGGTGTAATAGAATACATCTGAAAGACAGTGAAAAATTTGTTTTTTTTTTTAGCTGTGCTCCTATCTTTAGAATGGAATATCCACAGCCTGATAAAGGTGATACTTTAGCTGTAGAATAACTAGGAGGCATTTTGTAAAATTTGAATTTATTTTTGCATAAGACTTCTAAGAAAGTGTGTTATATATTCTCTCCAAGGTATCTAGATTATAATTACTTATTCAGCCCAAAGCTATATATTCTGCCTTTTTCTAGAATATTATTTTAGATTTATGATCTTGATGCTGTTTGTTCCTGTGCTGCAGTCTGAGGTCTACATCACGCACTCTGTTTAATTGATTTGAATTTGACAAAGTGTCTAATGGGTACTTCTCTTATATAGCATCACTTGGCCTATTCTTTCTTAAATCATACATGATGAGGGTTGGGTAGCCTATAAATACATGTGAAGAAGAAGAAATAGCCCTCTTATTTTTTCTTTCTCCTTTTTTGGTCAGAGCTTCATTATTATTATCAGAATTAGCTTGAAGCAATTTAATCCAGAGTAGCTTGGGTTTTTTCCCCAGAAAATGGTCTTGCCTTCCCTTTTCAGTTTTATTTGCCTTCAGAATGATTGCTACTTGGCAGTTCTGCTGAACTGTAATATTTTTATAGCATTTTGGCGGTTGATAAGAAACGCTTAGCAGTGTTGTGTGCTGCAGTACTGATTCCAGAAGCATGATGTTCACCTTCACTGAGAGATCCTTTCTGGTCTGGGATCTTGCCGCCATTGCCTTGTTTTATGTTTCTTAATATTTAGTGCCCCCTAGTGCTGTATGTTATCTTTAACACATATGCTGTTAAAGTGTGAAAGAGTAACACTTTAGTCAGTGCTTAAATAGAATTTTTTTTTTTTACTTTTTTACTTTATTTTTTAGTCAGCCAGTTTTTGTATTCAGTTTGGGCTACAAATATGACAAATTTATGGTTTCTATGAGATGTGGCTAATGTGTACATACATGCAAGTGCCACAGACTTAGTTGTTCCTATCAGTTCAGACAAATGTTTACAGGCAAAAAAAATAAGGAATGTGCTTATTTTAAACTTAAACTTGTGGACTCTTTGTTAGCTGCCACATAACATGGACCAGTGATCTTTCAGAGATCATGTTATGTTGTTATGTCCTTTATCCTTTTATCCTTCCTTTTTTGTTCAATTATTCTAGCTATTTATCACAGTTTTTATTATTCCTTGAGTTTTCTGGCTGTTACTCAGGTATTCAGCAGACCTTTTGTAAGCAGGATGTCTGGGATCAGTCTTTAGAATCTCAATATAATGTGGGAAAAGATCCCTCTCTAAATTTCTGGAACTTGCTCCTGTGGTTAGGAGCAAGATGAATCACAAGAGAACTTGACATAGTATAACTGAAATCTGAAAATAGCAGGAAAATGTTTTATTGGAATGCTTGGGCTAAACAAGTGATTAATACTTTAGTTGATTTTTTAATGGTTGTTTTAACAATTTTGAGAGATTGCCTTTTGAGGTTTAGTTGCCTTCAATATATGCTTGACAATATATATAACTGAAACATGTCCTAACTGAATAGTAGATGGTTTAGTAGCCTCTGAGTACCTGCAATTTTGACTTCTTTAAGAAACGCTTCACTTGAGCGAAAACCTACCATTTAATTTTACAAGGTATTAAAAAGTGAATTGAAAGAATTAGCTATACATTGATCTGTGGAAGGAAGAATTGGAATATCCAATTTTGGAAAATAAATGGGTCCAGGTGTTAAAAAATGTGAAATATGCTGCTTATGATTTAAAAATGAAACAAATTCATCATAAAATATTATTTCAGGTTTATTTGACCCGTCAGTGAATATTTTAAAAGTGAGGGAAATTAGATTTCTTATTTTGATGAAATAAGCAATTTAACTTACATGATTTGGTATTGTTCTGCTATAGCTTTGTTTTGGTTTCAAATTCTAACATATATGTTAATATAACTTTGGGAAGAAATATTATTATTTTATTTATATTTTATTTATTTATATATCAAATTTGTCACCACCCGTCTCGTTAAAAAGCAACACTGGGCGGGTTACGGAGGAAATAAAATCCATTAAAATACAATATAAAATAATCTTAAATAATTAATAAATAGATTCCAAGAGACAATAAAATTGGCTAACAGCTCAAGGAGTGTCGTCAGGGCGCCAGCCACCCCAGGATCAGTTACAACTCTTGTTGCCCTATGCAAGCTGACAGAGCCAGGTCTTAAGTCCTTTCCAGAAGGCCAGGAGGGTAGGGGCCTGCCGCACTTCTGGGGGAGAATGTTCCAAAGGGCAGAGGCAGTGGCAGAGAAGGCTCTCCTCCTGGGCCCTGCCAGCCGACATTCTCTCGCTGATGAGGTTTGTAACATGCCCTCTCTGTCTGGGTGGGACAGGTTGATGTAATGGGGGTGAGACAATCCCTCAGGTAACCTGGACCCATGCCATGTAGGGCTTTAAAGGTGATAACCAACACCTTGAATTGGACCCAGAAGCAACCTGGCACCCAATGCAGCTCCCTCAGCAAAGTTGTTATATGTGCCATCCTTGGGGCACCCAAGATTGCGCAGCTGCATTTTGAACCAGCTGTAGCTTCTGGATACTGTTCAAGGGTAGCCCCATGTAGAGTGCATTGCAGAAGTGTAACCAAGAGAAGACTAGGGTGTAAGTAACTGACCAGAGAGCTTCCTGATCCAGGAAGGGCCATAACTGGTGCAACATACGAAGGTGGGCAAAGGCCCTCCTGGCCACAACTGCCACCTGCTCGAGCAGGAGTCGTGAGTCCAGGAGGACCCCCAGATTATGCACCAGGTCTGTCTGGGGCAGTGCAACCCCATCCAGAACCCAAGATGGTAAATTTCTGGATATCGAGGGGCCTCCAATCCACAGCCACTCCATCTTACTAGGGTTCAGCTGAAGCCTGTTGCACCCCATCCAAACCTCCATAGCCTCCAGGCACTGTGAAAGGGTGGTCACGTCATCATTCAGGTCACTCGGGATGGAGATGTACTGTATAACTGGGTATCATCTGGATATTGATGATACCTCATCCCGTGGTGATGGATGATCTCACCCAATGGTTTCATATAGATATTAAAAAGGAGTGGGGAGAGTACAAAACCCTGCGGCACCCCACAGTGGAGGGGCTGCAGGCTGGACCTCTTGCTCCCAATCAATACTGATGGGGATCAACCTTGGAGGAAGGAAGAGAACCAGCACAAAACTATGCCACCCACTCCCAACTCTCCAAGTTGACCCAAAAGAATACCATGGTCAATGGTATCGAAAGCCACTGGGAAATCAAGAAGAACAAAGATGGGTGCACTACCACATCCCGCTCCTGCCAGAGATCATCCATGAGTATGACCAATGCCATTTCCATCCCAAATCCAGGCCTGAAACCTGACTGAAAAGGGTCCAGATAAGCCATTTCCTCCAGGATCCTCTGGAGCTCCAGTGCCACCACCTTCTTAACCACCTTCCCTAAAAAGGGGAGGTGGGAGACTGGATGAAAATTGTCCAATATGGTGGGATCCAGTGATGGTTTCTTGAGGAGGGAATGCACTAGCGCCTCTTTAAAGGTGGCAGGGATTATATTTAAGGATCTCAATATGATGTTGAATTATGTTCCTAAAATATGGAATTTGTCATCTAATGAAGAACGTTGGCTTTATCAGGCTTGGGGTAAAACAAAGAGGATAACCTTATAAAACTGGAAAGAAAGTCATTCTCCTGATTTTAACGAATAGATGCAGGATGAGAGTTTGTGACCAACCAAAACTCTTTGTGGTCTAAAAGGAGATGTCACATTGTGACTTAATGATAAACTCACAGTTGTTAATTCCAAATAGACATTTATACTTACCATATAACCTCTTTTTGTGAAATTTTTGTTTAGTTCACTTAACTATATTTTTACCTTCACTTTATTATCACTATTCAGTGTGAGCTTTTTCCTTTTGTATTTCAGTATTTTAACAGTACAAATAAAAAATAAAAAGGTACTGAGCTAGATGGACCAAAAATACATTAAGCATCAAATCTTTTGGTCTGAAGCTTGCTTCTTAAACCTCTCCCACTTGTAATATCAGTCCAAGAGAAGTAGTGCAGGAAATGGAGTAAAGAGGATAGGAGATCCTTCATCTCCTGTTTTCTTTGTTCTATTTCATATTAAAAATTGATTCTACACTTCTTGATTAGTTATAAAAAGAAAGCCAGGCCCCTGAATGAAATGCACATGGCTGCCAAGTTGCATGTAATTTGAACCTAACTTCCATATTCTGTTGAGTTTGCAAGTTAAGGCTGTCAGTTATGGCTGTCAAAATTAACATTTTTTTTTCATAGGAACTGAAACTAAAAGATGAAGAATGTGAGAGGCTTTCCAAAGTACGTGATCAACTTGGCCAGGAACTGGAAGAACTCACTGCTAGCCTGTTTGAGGTTTGTTTGAAGACTTTGCTATAATATACTCTAGGAATGATGTGGCTAATTTCATGAAGCCTTTGATTTCTGTGTGAAGTATTTATACCATATAAACCTTGTTTTCAATAGGAAGCTCATAAAATGGTGAGAGAAGCTAATATAAAACAGGCCACAGCAGAAAAACAGTTGAAAGAAGCACAAGGAAAAGTGAGTTCTAATTATTGCTATTATGGCCAGCATGGCCAATTTCTCTCTCTCTCTTTCTCTATGCTTGCTTCTTTTTTTTGTGATTTCCCAACTGCTCTTCAGACTTAGAGTTCAAGAATCAGTTGGGCTAAGTGGGGAGATTAGATGTCAAAACAATCTAAAGAAAAACCATCACCATTTGGGAATACAGTTCTTATTATTTTTTTGGATTATTATTTTGCATAAAGAGCTAAATCAATATTATTGAAAGGTAGTGAGCCTTTTCAGATTCAACTCCCAGCTGAACTAATCTATTTATTTATTTGCTCAATTTATATGCTGCTTTTTTGATTCAAATGGAACACTGTAAGTGGTTTGCAGTTTTAATTAACATAAAAATGCAGAAGATAAAAATAAGGAAATTAAAACACAACTAATAAAATAATGTCTGGCTAAATTGCTGTATCTGTATATATTTTCTAAAAGCAGAGGAAAACAAAATTTCAGAGGAGTGCATTCCTTATATTTGGAAGTGATGCAGGAGAAGGCCCAGCCCCTGAAAGCAGGGGCAACTTCAGAAGACCTTTTCCCACAGTCCTTAATGTCCAGAGAACATTGTCAAATCAAATCTTTATTATGGTCATAGACTAGCATAACAGAACATTGTAACTTCTGGTCAGCAAGAGATTCTGGAAGCTGTAATTCTGCAACTTCTGAAAGATCAGTGGTTCTCCATTTCTGTCAAGAATATTTTGTAAAATAAAGCTTCCTCTCTTGGCAGCATTGCAGATATTTGTCCATCCTCTAATTATCAGTTCTTGTTGATGTGATTTTGTTTATATCACACTGACCATTTGGTTTAAATGGCATTGCAGTGAGCATCCATAATTTGGGTCTTCTCAGCAGTGAGCCAGTTGGTTGTCTTCAGAATTGTGAAGAGCTTGGCTCTCCTTCCCCTGAAAATTCACTTTGGAATTTACTATAAACTCTAAGAATGAAGGCTTGGCTTTTTTAATGCAATATTAGTTAGTACTTCTCCAAATTATATGGAGCAATCTTAAATCAATGAAGCAGCAGATAAAAATTGGTAGGGTGCAATTAACAGGGCATGGATTCAACAAATTTTTCCTGCACTTTTGGCAAGAAAATCACCATCATAGCCCTTAACTGTGTCCCCTTCATGGTTCCCCTTTCTTTCTACCTTTAGCTAGAGATTTTGTATTCCCCATGTTATGCAAAATATAAATTTGTGTTAAATATATATATTCCTACCGAAAGAAATTTCCATATTTCTATTACTATGTTATACATAAATATAACACGTATACATAGTAGTACATAAATGTTCAAAAGATAACAGATTTAGTTGCTCTTCTAAATCAATAATCTTGTCTCTAGTTTGTTTCCTATGCATTGAAATCCTGATTTTCTGGGGTTGCATATTCTTTTTATTTCAATCATATTGGCTATGAATTGTGAAGCTTGTACCCTACATCCATTCTTTTATAACTCCAAGGGCAGCATGCCATGTCTTCTCTTGTCATAAATCAGCAAAAACAGCAGTATCTCATCTTGCAAATTCTGCACAGGATGCAGCATGGCACGTTTCTAACACTTTTTTCTGTTGATAAATTCTTAGATTGACGTACTTCAGGCTGAAGTAGCAGCTCTGAAAGCGTTAGTGCTATCTACTTCTCCAACCTCACCAACAAAGGAACTTCAGTCTAGTGGAAAAACGGCCTTCAAAAAAGGCCACGCAAGGAACAAGAGTACAAGTAGCGCAATGGGTGTCAATAACCAGGAACTCACCATGATGCAGCCAATTGCAAAGGACTGCAAAGAGGTATTTTAAGAATTGGATTATAATATATATTATAAAGACAGTGGACTATTCTATGCTTTGGTGTTGTCATCAGAAAATAGTGTATGTATGTTTTTCCCTTAAATATCTGCCCATATTTTAACTGTATGGCTGGATTCACATATCATCCCAAGCCTAAGGTCTGTAAATTTTCTTGAAAGACAAAAATTAGAGTGCAAAAGATCTTGTCTGAATTTTCAAATAGCTTTTTATTTTGACGTCATCAGCAAGAATGGCCAAAAAGGTTTAGTGAAATACAGGGATCAGGGCGTGCAAAGATTACTGCATGCTCTTATAGAAACTTACTTGCTTACGATTTGAGCCCTCTTCCCCTTCCACATGCAACTAAAGCTCTTCAGTAGTGATATTTGCAACTTGGGACAAGTGGGAAGCAAGTCTTGTTTTAAAGAAAAGTGTAACTGAAATAACAGCTTGTTAGGGCTGTGTCTGTGCTCATGTGAATGAACTTTGAATGAAGTATATTTTTGACAGGAACTGATTTTCTCTGTTTTCAGTTTCAGCCACATACAAGGAAATGCTATATTGAGGAGAAAATCTAACATTCCCCTTATCTCCCACAGTCTGAAGCCTGACTCTGTGGTTTGAATGATACAGTTGCAGCTATACATTGATTTAATTTAGTGTTAGCCTTTAGTTTCATTATCTTAACAAGGCTTCTTATATTAAACAAGTTAGCTGTTGTCAGGTTTTTGTGGGGTGGGGATGAGAGTAAACGCCTGGTGAAAAAAAGTAGAGAAAGAAAATAGAATTTCTTTTTAAAAAGTTGTAGCATTAAAGTCCTAAATTAATGGCAACTAGAGGAGTCTCAACAGTGTGCTGCGTTGGGGAGATCTCCCATTCGATGCATCAGCCAGCCAGCTTAGCTAGTCACTATTTCGTTCCTTTCAATCATCCAGTTTCCTTTATATTCCTTTTCTCCAACAGCTAGTTAGAAATTTATGGCTACTGAGCATGCTCAGTGCACTTTTCTCATATAGGAAAACTTCCTATACATTTGCTATGTATCCATAAATAAATATTAGTGCCATCAGAGACTGTTAATACTTCCTTTGTATGGTGCTACTTTGGTTTACACTAGCGCACATCTCTTAAATCATAAATAGAAGAACTGATGATTGAAATATGAACAATGATATATATACATGTATGTGGATATTAAGAAATCAAAGGTAGAAGTTGGCAAATAAATAACTTTAGTTCAGCTTTCTCTGTTCCAGATACACTTCAGATATGTGAGTTCAACTCTCCGAATTCCCCAGCCAGCATAGCTATTGCTGAACAGTCTGGGAGTTTAAACGTGCACATCTGCAGGACACCCAGTTTGGGGAAGGTTGCCTTAGCTTGTCTAGTTCTACAATTTGGTGCCTTGAAGCTGTTATGCATATGGTACGATAGAGTTAAATTACCTTGATTTAAATGGAAGAATTAAGCGCATGGAAATTAATGGAGATTTAGAGTTCTTAACAAAGGTCTGCTGTCTACTGAATGTTATCACTGAAATGGAGGTGCTGTGTACCAGGGTATTGTAATGTCTATCATTTGCTGATTATGGTCTGGTACAGTATGGTATATGGTATATATAGTATGATTCTTGAATGAAGACTTGGGCTCTCATTTTGCCTATTTTATTTCAATGTTAGGCTGATGTATCTCTATACAATGAATTCAGATCCTGGAAGGATGATCCTACCATGGACAGAACATGCCCTTTTCTCAATAAAATCTATCAGGAAGATATCTTTCCATGTTTAACCTTCTCAAAAAGTGAGGTAATGCTTTGAAACCATATACTGATATTTAGATTTATAATATGGAAGAAGGCCTTTGAAACCACCACCACCAAGTACTTTGATATCTTCAGTCAGGTCCTAAATTCCCTCTTTCACCTAGGAAGCATTTCCATTGAATTATAGGTAGGATTGATTTTGTTTGTACTGCACATAGCTCTGGACCATCTCACAGTTAAGCCCATGCATATTATTTGATGAGCAAAGCTTCCCTCTGGATCCATTCTTGAGAGTTTCAAAGCAGCCACGTTGAACCTTTGAGCAGTTTCAGTCAACAGGCAGTCTTCATTTAGTGACTGCCTCATTTAGCGACTGTAAAGTAACTTTACAACCAGTTCTTGCATTTATGACCTTCACAGGTCTGTAAATCAAAGGAGAGCTGAAATAAGATCATAAGCACAGTTGCAGTTTCACTTTATGATTGCTCTGCTTAATGATTGAATTGCCAGTCCCAATTGTGGTTGCTAAACAAGGACTACCTGTATAGGGTTATTTAACTCATGAGGTGCATTCAATGATTTATTCCCACACTTCAGAACCAGTGCTTCTGACTGAAAAGGGGCTGTGGCTGGGAACAGATGGGCTAGAAATACTGTCAAATGTGTTTGGAAGTCTCATGTGTACTCCCTTGGGATCTAGTCTGAGTTTGTGTGTGACTAAATTGTGTGAAAATGATAGGCAAACTATTTTAATGGAAACTATTGCAGTTAGTTATCCCAGATCATAATACGCTTCTTCCCCTTTGTTTCTGATATCGTACTACAACTTACTATAGAACGTACTGCTCCTTAATAGCTTATTCCAGTGAATACAGATGTTGCACTGGATCCTAATCTTCTGAACCCAGAAATCACTTTATACCAAACCAAGAACCTCTGGGCAGTTCTTCTTCTACACTGCCATTCTTCTTTCCATTAGATTTAAAAGCTGATGTGTTCATTAGTTTCTCAAATTGAAAATCACTTATCCTGAAATACAGAATATTATACACTGTGAAAGTAGTTATACACTTCTTTATTCTTAATCGTAATCCAGAAATGGGCAACCTGAGACATCTGAGCTTTTTTTGTGGGGTGGGCATGGACTACTCTAATACAATTCAGTACTATTTTCCCACCATTTAAAAGCCAGAAAGAAATGAGAATTGCAAATAAACTTTAAAATGGGCTTTGTTTTTATCCTCTTCCCTGCCTCTAAAAATGTGAAAGAAAAAATGTGAAATTGTCCTGTACACTATTTCCCAATGAGTGTGGCTACCAAAATGTTGTCTGCCCTTGCAGTTCAAACCTAGGGCTCGTTCTTATTTTAAGGATTTGTATGGTTTTGCTTCTTCATGCTACATCCTGTGCTGTTCTGGTTTGTATGAGAAGAACCATGATAGTATCTACCTTTCATGCAATTTTTGCTACCAGTATAGCTTTTTTGGGGGCATGGATATATCCTTTTATGTTTTCATTCCTGTGCTTCTAAAGGATTGAAGATACTATTAATTTGTCTGTGAGAAAGGGTGTATCTCCAGATAGAGCTCATAGTATACTTTGTCAAGACTTGGGAAACATCAAGTATGGTGAAAACTACTACTTACCTCTTTGTGGTCTATTTTCAGCTGGCATCTGCTGTCCTGGAAGCTGTAGAAAACAATACATTAAGTATCGAGCCTGTTGGTCTGCAGCCTGTTCGATTTGTAAAAGCTTCTGCAGTTGAATGTGGAGGACCCAAGTATGTTGCAATGGAAAGGATCCTGTTGTGCCAGGGATATATTGCTGTGTTTCAACATACTGGCCTAGCTTCTGGCAGCCAATAAGAAATTACTAACATAGGTTTTTTGTTTTTTGTTTTATCTGCGCTCAGTCGTTACCAAGTCTGCAGTGACTGCTTGGACGAGTCCTTGCAGTTTTCAAGGCAAGTGTTTC